TTAAAAGTGCATGCTAAGCTGATAAAAGCATAAGATAGCTGCAAACTGTACTATGAGGATAAAATTTCGTTCCCTATTGGTTTGTTCCAACCTAAGGTTGCATGTAAAATAATTTATTTGAACTTCATCTGAAAAATCAGCAGGAGCAGATGGTACTGTTATGAATACAGTATAGCCACGCTAGATACAAGTTATAGCCACCCTAGATAAAAGTATAGCCACGCTAGATAAAAGTATAAAGCCATCCCAGATAAAAATATAGCCACGCTAGATAAAAGTATATAGCCACCCCAGATAGAAGTATCGCCACGCTTGATAATAGTATAGCCACGCTAGATAAAAGTATAGTCACCCCAGATAAAAGTATAATCACGCTAGATAAGACCAGATGAAAGTATAGCCACGCTAGATAAAAACATATAGCCGCCCCAGATAAAAGTATAACCACACTAGATAAAAGTATATAGCCACTCAGATAAAAGTATAGCCACGCTCGATAAAAGTATATAGCCACCCCAGATAAAGTATAGCCACGCCAGATAAAAGTATATAGCCATGCTAGATGAAAGTAGATAACCACGCTTGATAAAAGTAGATAACCACGCTAGATAAAAGTATATAGCCACACTAGATAAAAGTAAATGGCCATGCTAGATAAAAGTATAGCTACCCCAATTTAAAATTACCAATTATGACCAAGCCAAGCCAAATAAAAATATAACAAAGCCAAATAACAGTTTAGCCAAGCTAGATCAAAGTAAAGGCCAGTCAAATGAAGGTTTATCTCACCCTGTTGCACAAATCTACCGTAGAAGCATTGAGGACACAATTGCAAACCGCCAATGCAAGGCACATTCAGATTCCAAATTTTCCGATCTTGGTTTTCCAAATTAGCATTTCCAATCCACCAACCATAATATCCAGTGAAAGACATAATTTTATCAGTTATTTTGAAAAATAAAATAAAAAAGAATTACCATTTTTAGATTTTGCAAGCTTTTCCAGAAGATCTCTTCTTGGAAGTCTATTGGTTGCGTTCCATTTCTTTTTTATCTGACCGACGTACTTCTTTATTTTTCTATCTTGTTGATTCAGTGTTTTAGATATCAATCCCCAGGTATCGGGTGTCGCTAAAATTCAAACATAGCAATTTGGTTGAAAGTTGTCAACAACTTAACCAACAGCGAAAAGACAAGATTAGAATTTAAATGTAAGTAAATCTTAAAACACAGCTGAATAATAAAGTATATCAATGCATTTTACTATGCTATATTAGATTTTCACTTTTAAAGGAACAGGTGTGCCATTTTGGGGCACTTTTAATTTGAGTCTTGAAAAGATGTCTTCAGAAGTACTAGACATGTACGAAAATTACATAATTCCATTACAAATACTCCAAACTAGGAGTTTTACTCACTATTTCTATAAGTTTTTTTTCTATATGTGACTATCTTAAATTGACGAGTCGACATTATAATATTCAAACGCTCATAATTCTGAACACACATGGATTCGGAGGCTCAAATTTCGACAGTGAGTTGTGAACACTATTACTGATTGGCTTGAAGATTGGCTAAAAAAATTCCCGTTTCTAAGACTAAAATATTATTAGCCAAAACATGGCGCATCTGCCCCTTAAATAGACATAATGGTCTGCATCCGCCCATCGTGCTTTGTATCTTAGCAACTCTAGTTTCAAAACAAAAGGGCATATAACAATTTAGCACCCCACTAACCTATTACGAATGTGATAAAATTCTTTTCTTATAAATTGCCCATTGAATAAGTGCTTCTCAACCTTAGTGAGATCATTCCTCCCCGGAAGAGTTCTTCCAAATCTATTCCTCCCGAAAATAAATCAGTCATTTTGAAACGCATTTCACTCAAAAAATATATTCAACGATTAACCATGAATGGACATAAAATCATACTTTACAAATTACATATCGAGATAGTTGTGTCCCTTGAGTCGAATTTCTTTATGTCCCTTAGTGAGTGAAGTCAATTTCAGTCAAAGATCACCTCGCTCAGTTATCTTCAATGAACCTTGTTCCTTTGTGAGTACATTAACCATGCTGAACCCGCTCTCCATCGAATACTCGGTAGGAAATTGCAGCAGTGGATTACTCCCCTTCTCCTCTCCCCCGGCTATAATTCCTCCCTATGGACTTCCTACTGCATCTATACGGACCATAAAATTTCAACTTGGCCAATTACTCTCTGACTACATTGTTTTTAAATTTAAATTTTTTTGAATTTAAATACCAACTACAAAATACTATTGAGAGTCTTAGCTTGCCTTTGGGTTGATGAAAATGAAAACAACATAAATTTTTACAATTATTGCAAAAACGATTTTACAGGGGGGGAATCTTCGGTCCGAAAAGGTCAGTCGTTTTCATGTCAATTAAGTGGGAAGTGTGTTTATTTTAAAAGTAAAAATACATCTTGTATTTCTATTTAGCCGAAAATATTTTACTGTCTGACTACTTGAGCTTTGAATTGGAATTTGTCTCTCATTTCATAAATATTCAAAATAAAATTTTCAACTGAAGAGAGAAAAATTCAATTCAAAGCCCAATGTAATAATTTTTTCTACTTTTTGTCATTTGTCTTTGAATATCGTCGGGTGAATAGAAATATAAGGTTCAGTGATTTTACATTAGAAATACACACACTTCCCTCCTACAAAATTCTCGTGAAAATGAGATACGTTTCAGACTGAAAAATCCGTAAAATCGTGTTTAAAAATAATAACCTTTTCCAGTGATTAACATTTTCACCAACCCAAAGACAATCTAAGATTCTCAGTAGTATTTTGTAATTGATATTTCAATTCATATGAAAATGATTGCCAAAATTTAGTTCCGAAAACAGTGTAGTCAGAGACTAATATGTGCAATATTTATCATAAAAAACACAAACCTTTCCCAGTAGGAAATGAACAGAAATCTCGGAAAGCGGCGTCTTCTCCACGTTTTATTATAAAAGTTAATCTTGTACCTCCTGACGACATTTTGTTAATTACTTGTGAACACTTCGATTTGTTGATCATAGTAGACAGCAGCCAATTGGCGCGAAATATACAGATATTTGAACATTTAACACTTTGGATAAATGCCAAGTCATTTTTTTCAAACTTAATTACTATTTGCTTTCGTGGACTATTTTTGTTCTCAAATTTGTTACACAACACCAGAAACACACATAGAAATTTTCCATAATAACATAATTATTAAGTGTTTTCAGGCACTATCTTATAATCCGAAACTGACTGTGTTTTTTTTTTGTCCGAATAATACCTATTTATGTATCATTTTCTTTACACATTTCATTTGGAATTGTAACAAAACTGTGTTTTTAAATGAATCACTTTAAACATGGGTTCCCTTATTTTCATTTATGAAAATGAAAATGCTAATACTTATATGAATAGAAAGTAGAGATACTTGTCTCACATGTCCAAAATTAATTCATAATAAGCTTAATAAGAAGAGAATTACCTTTAGAATTCCAATGAGTGACCTATCAAGAAAGGTCAAAAAGTCCTTTTTTTATCCAGACTGTACATGCATGGACATTTATGATTGGTTAAAACTCTTAATTATATGCAATAAGAACATGATGATATGATTAAGAGTACATGATAATTCATTAGAAACACCAAGTTAAACCAAATAATTTGCTTATTTTGACACTAAAAAAATGAGAAAACCGATTTTTGAGTCCCCAATCTATTTCTTACTGACAAATAGTGGGCAAAATTTTTAGTTTCAAGTATGTTTAAATTTAAAGGAATTATGCCTTTTTCGTACATTTATAGTACTTCTGAAGACTATTTTCATATATTCAAGATTGACACCTCCACCCCTAATGGCGCATCTGTCCCTTTAATAATATTACCTCGCTCTTAGCAAATAATTTGTAGCCGTGGTGGCTCAGTGAGTTAGACACTTGCTCATTAACCTAAAGGTCCAATGTATAATTCAGGTAAGATGGGCTGACATCGAAAAAGAGCAGGCTTATGCCGCTGTCTTGGCAAAATTTCCCTCATTGCCCCCTGCAAGAGGTTGCCCGTCTTCATTAGCCCATAAGGTGCGGAAAAGTAAGACGTAAAACTCAATTCATATCATTTCATTTCGTAAATACTTGACAATGGCTGCAATAACTTTGACGAATATTACAATACAGTCAAGTAGCCTAATTTCGTACTAATCTATTTTTCGTGCATTTCCGGAAATGATTAATAATTTACATGTGCGACCTCGCGTTTGCTTGTGTTGATAAACATGGGTTTTCTGTACAATGCCAGCTATTAGAATGAATCCAGTAGTTTCAAGCAAGGTAAAATGTATTAATGTATGCTTTGAAAAATACAAAATGGCGGAGTCCAGTTATTATCAAACGTCACCATTTTTTATCGGCCGAATTTCCTTATAATTACCACGCGGTAATCGGAATTCCAAGTGTCGTCTGCTAGAATATAGTCCAACGAATGAAGTCACGTGATCAACTAGCAGATTCCGTGTCAGCAGAAAATTTCTATGGAACACAAAGTGAGCCATATTCTTATGTTGTTTCAGTGACTTTTAGCAATAAATCACGCTACGTATCTTTTTTTGTCAGTCACTATTTTTTTCTTTGAAGGAATTGTCACTACTTATAATAAATTGATATTAAAGATAAATACTAAGAGAAGTTAATTATACCACCCGGTATCCATACAACGTGTTTTTCTCGACTTATTTATAGATCAAACATTGCACACGAAAATAGGTGACGCATTCTGCCGCCGTTGAAGAGTTGGTTATTCATGAAATATGGGTCAAAGTGAAGGATTCTTAAAGAAAATCGAAACAAACGAATTTTAATTATTTTGTAGAATATATGAGGAAACGTCTAAGACATAAAATTTTTTTTTTTTTTTTTAACTTTGACGAAATTCGATGTTGAATCCTTATATGCACGAAAATATGTATACAGTTTTAATTGATTATTTCTGTAATATAAATAATACAAGCTTGTCTTTTTAATTCACCTCCTACGTTATACATTTCATAATAGTTGTTAATAATTTACTGCAAAATCTGATTGAAATGGTGAAGAAAACCACGGCAAATTGACTCAGTGACTTATTTTAAGGTAAATTGTTACCTCTAATTAAAGCAGAGGTGCAATATATCTCGAGACCAACGAGGCCATATATTGTGACCTCTTAATGTCATAACGACCAATTACACCAAAGCCCAGATGTTGATGGCCATTCACAAGTGATTTATCAGCGGTAAATTCTACCTCCTTTCGTCAACTCAAAGACTGAAGCTCTAAAGATGAATGGTGCTAACATGCTGAGTATTAGTAACATCAGAAAATTAAGACCTTTGATGCATGTGAAAGTAAACTTCATCGAGTCTTTTCTCTTTGTGATCATATCGTTCCGTAACAGGCGGTACCAATATTTCCGATACCATTGTTTACCATTTAGACTAGGGCTTCTCAACCTCAGTGAGACCACTCCTCGCGAGAAGACTTCTTCAAAATCTATTACTCCCCAAAAAAATTAAGTCATTTTTCGACCACAAATCAAATGGAATGGTACCGTTTCGTTGCCCTTTTGGTATTTCAGCTAGTTAACTTTTCATTTCAAACGAGGAAGTATAATATCAAGCATAAGTATATTAAGTCCTTCACGTTGTTCTTTTGATAGATTGCAATGTATTTACCAAGATCTTATATATTGAAAATTGTTGCCAATCGTTTTTTAAGGTCCTGGTCAACGGGAAGTATGATATTTCAAGTAGTGATAGATTAGTAGCTTGGGGGTTTAATTTTTTTTATATTTTATCCTTCAGGACCTCAGGCCTGATCCTTTAATCTGTTCATAATATGACGTATATCTTCAATCGTTTAAGTAATTGATGATAAAATTACTGATCCCGTGACACAGGCTGATAAGGAGTCTCTTTAAGTTTTCGTTTATTCATTCATATAACAAAATTGAAGCTCTTGATATAATAAGTTGTTTATATACCACATTATATTAACATCTAAATGGACTGGTTGTAGCATACCTTAGCTCCACCTACTTTCCTCTTAGATTCTAATAAGTTATATTACAACAACAAACTGTTGATAATAAACCATGGTTTACCTCGAACACACATTTTAATCACTTTATTTCTATAAAAAAAAGTCAAACGAAAAAATTCAATTTGTGTTACAAACTTTAGTAGTAGTACATCCCGATTTTATGATTTTGCCTGCAGAGCAAGTTGTCATGTTGTATCATTTAGGATTTTTGGCGTTCGATCTCAGACCCACAGCATGACAAAAATTGTTTCCATCAAAAAATGTGTATTTCATTTTTTAATATTTAAACAGTATTTTATTTCTATTGTATTTATAATTTTTACAGAGTGTAAATATAGTTTCGGAAACAAGCCGAGACTTATGCTAATCCGTCACCAAATACAATATACTAAAATACAGAAAATATAAATGAATAGATGAAAGAACTATTAATTAAATTAACATTATATATATATAACAATTTAATAATAACGTAGTTTAACAGATACCACAATTTATTATGAATATAAATATATGAAAGAAAATGTGCAAAAATGCATGAGGTGTCCAAAGCCGACAGAGGTCGTCATCACCAAGAATTCCGTCCGTCCACAAGCTACACACAAAGACAGCTGTGCTGGTTATCTGGACACTGTGTTGGCCTTAAATAAATAATTTGGTCAAAGACGAATTTTGAGACTTGGGGATGTTGTTCATAGTGGTATACCTAACTGAAATAGAAATCAAGTTCAAATAATAATTTGGGGATAAGACAGTTATTTGAATTTGATTTAGGATCAAATATACAGGATGCACTACTAAGGCAAATATACAAGGTAAGTATACACTAGAACAAGGATACGGGGACCATGAAAGAGTATATAGTACGGTATATATTCACCAACAGATCAAATATACAATATACACTAACGGGGTTAATTATGAATAAGGGTAAGTAAAAAAATACCCTCAGCCATCTAGGGTAAGTATATGAAATTAACATCTAGGGGAAGACTATAAAGGATCAACCGCTAGGGCATGTAAACGAGATTCACAATTAAGGTAGGTACACAACAACTGGGGTAAGTAAATACGATCCACAGCTAGGGTAGTATAGAGCTCCTTAAGGATATAGAGGCCGCCATTACTTGACGTATATTTCTTAAATTGGCAGAAACTGCTCATGGAAAATATACTATTTGATTTAATCGAAGATCGTGATAAATTTTAATTTTGGGTAATCATGGGAAATATTGGTTGATAACAAGGTCATTTTAAGTTGACAAACTGAGATACGAATCCACTTACATTGAACCTTTGCTCAAAGATAGAACTTCGGCAAAAATTATTGATGATCATCGAATATATAAGTATCTTTCTTATCATTGGCTATTTATCTATTACAGTTGCACGTAGTCAGGTAATAAGGGTAACCACCCATGATTATCTAGCTTTAGGCCAATACAAATCATGGGACAATATTTCTAAAAAGTTTGAGTTATTAAGTATTAAGTGTGGCTCGAACAAGTCGGAATATTTTGACTTTAACATGGTTGAACAGAAACATACTAAAATTAAACGAGGTAATTTGATTTTAATATTTCTATAGTGGTGGATTGGAACAACAATAATTTGGTATAATGATTTCTCATGGAAAAATATACCTTATTTGGGACCTGGATTACGGTAGAGAATTAACTTAGTCAATATTTATAGTATCGAGGATTCATTTAGTCTCAAGTTACATTAAGTCTCGCCTTTGATTAATTGTGGACCGCGGTGAAGGGTTCGATACCGGAATAGCTATGCAATGTAAAGGTACTGACTTGAAAATATTGTTCGGCCGTTAAAGTGAGACTATAATCCGTTGTCTCATACTGTCCATCAGGTTTAAAATGTTCCTCAATGAACACAGCATGGCATTGTCATTCTGACTAATCCTTTTCAGCTTTATATGTTAATAGACTAATTA